TATCCCAAATTTTACTGTGGACAGTCCAACCAGCAGGCTTGGCAGCACCTAAATAGACTTAGACCGACATTCGTCCTCTAAAGAAAGTTGTGAGGGGCAATACATACACTGAAAATTCCGCAAAAAAGTATAACCAATACAATCGGAAGCAAGAAGAATACGCCGCTATGCCCGCAAAATTACGCAACAAAATGACAACCCGGAGCTATAAAGCAGTTAATAAAACAGCAAAACTAGCTTCAATACCCAAAAATGCAATTTTACTACCCAATATCATGCCACTTCGTAGGTAGGCTTGATATATGCGCTGAATAAGTTATACTAAGGCGATAAAAGGATGGAAAAAATGAGCGAGACACAGGTGTGATTACAAAGGAGCCCGTAGAGACAGGCCCTAGGATCAAATCCAGGACGTTTTCAAGATAGTTGGTAAGCCCAATCCTCCTCACCTTTCTACCATAAAGGATACACAAGTCAAGGTCATGTGGTCACAAAAGGAATATTCTTGACATGGCTCTGCTTTATTATGAAGTATAAAGACAAGCTTATTTTTCCTTCTCTAAGTTTCCAAGTTTTTTGAACCAATGGACTTCAATTATCGACGGCTCTTTTAGGCAGTTGTGAAATGCATTTAAAGTTTTATACTTGTAATGTATGCAATATAATTTCGCCCGCTCAACTTAGAAGAGAAAAAGATAAGAATGATAGATAATGTGCCATATTGCTTCACATACATTTAATATACCACTTTTAACGAACCAGATATCTATAGGTGAGAGCATGAGAGGGGATTATAGGCTACAGATGTCACACCATTCTTTATTTTATCTTTGGAACATAACTAGAATAGAGTACTAGATATATTATATGTGCGTATGGATAAAGCCATTGATAAATGATATTAAGAAGTAAAGCTGGTCGGTTTTTACCAAAAATAAGCTAGAGTTAATTTGAGATCCATCGCATGAGACGTTAATAAGTTTGCGAGAAAAAAAGTTCAAATGGAAGAAACCTTAATACGTTGTGAAGTGTTATGTAAGCAATCAGCATGTCAATTAATTAAAAATGTATCCCTTACGCTAATGAATGCAACCAGCTAAAATGAATTTTACTATTGCCAAGGTTTTAGGGTCGCGTATATATACAAATGAAATATTCCATGAAGGATTGAGAGAAAGGCATCTTATCCAAGCTCCAATCATCAACAAGAGGTCGGGGTACAGTACTGAACCACGAACTTCATACAAGAGAATGCAGATACCTGGACAATCCGGATCCGCGACTCTTGCAAACCGCTGTATAATGTCCTGAAAAGCCAGTAGCCCGGCCACTCGAAGGCGATCATTGTCAGACGTAGCCGCCATAAATGCCATTCCAACCAGGTCGGGGAGATGCAATACCAAACAGCCTGTTTCGGTCGCAGCCGACTTTACCGATAGGGCCTGCCACCGACGGGCCAAGGTCAGATCGAAATGGGCATACTCAGCGGGCGGGAAACGCGCCAGATCGGCAAGACACTTGGCCGGGAGGTGGCTTGATTGCAGAAGATTGGATAAACAAAGAGAAGCCTCAAGAGTGCAGGCCGTGATGAGCCGACGCAGGCAGTCAATGGCAAATACACGAGTCGTCCATCTGGATCGAGAAAAGATGCACAGAAGGATAAGTAGTTTGAGTAAAAATGGATGGTGTGGAGCTGTAGTAGGAAAGTATATATCGTGTCAATTAGGCTCGATTGCAGAAAAATTTAAGGCGGCAACCAAAGGAAAAGGAATTATTTTAAACTTAGCAATCCGTTTTGATTGAGTGAGATCATTAAGTAAAGAGTTAGGCCACTATATGGAATTTAAATAAAAGAGATAAATGGTGAACGTGAACTAGGGAATCGTTCAAGAACATATATGGGCTTAATAGGTTTGTGAGAGTAATGTTGAAGGAATTCAGGACCAAAAGTAGTCAGAAGGAGGTAGCCTAGATTAGAAAAAACGAAGATTGTAAGTCGACGAAGGCCATTTTTGTTCCACTTAACAAATAATTAAATTTTGACTAATTATAGCCAACAGATTATAGGCAAAATACCATTAAAGCTTGAACATTTCTGTGAAGGACAAAGTCGCAAGGTCTACTGACAAAGAATAGAGTCTATGCTAAGGATAAGCCAACGGCAAAGGCGTAAATAATGCAGGAGGCATGGGGTCTATACTTGCTAACTAAATTGTGGGGTTCCAGAATAAAAGTAAATGCACGAAAGTTTATTTATCGGAGAAATTTATGAGAATCATAAGAATTGCACAAATAAGAGTATATCAGTTTATCATGACAAAGTAGCGCTCAAATCTAAGAAGAATGTATTTTGGGTAGGGGTCAAAAGTAATAGAAAGTCATAGAAAGTGGAATAACAGCAATATAGTGTAGTATAACTGGCAAAGTGAAAAGTTGGAGAACTGGTAAAGTGAAAAATTGGAAGACTTTATGAGAAGCCCAA